ATTGTAATACAAATCTGACATTTATTTCACAAACTACATTAAATTTCCCATGAGAAAACAATATTTCGTTAAAAAATTCGCGCTTCGGAATACACCGTAGCCTTTCAGAGACTAACAAATATCAAAAACCGCGATTTTTAGGATTTTATTTATTTATTTTTAAAAACCAAATTTTGGCTTGTGCATTGACTTTCCTTCAAAATTTTGGGTATTTCAACAAAGTTGCATTGTTTTATAAGTATTCCAATGACACCCACTTTTATATTTTGTATGAATTTTTAGTAGTGGAATCTGGTTTGGAAGGATAAAAAACGTGATATTCAACCCAATTAGAGTAGCAACACAAGAACATCGAATATGTCGTGCTTTTAATAAAAACCGTAAATGGTCGAAGTAGAGAGCGGTCAAATTATATGTATAATATTTCAGAAAAAATACCTTTTTCATTTCATTGCCGAATTTCATCTTTTATTCAGGTTACATTCAGGGACTGGGTAAATTACAAAAATAAGTTGATTGTATTTTTTTAAATTGTACTCTAAAAATCTAAATAATAATTCATTAGTTTTCGTGGTCCGCTTGACCAAATATCTTTCAATTAATTAATCTATATTTAAGGTATTGGTAGAGATAAAAAAGTCAGTATCACAAGCGGGATGAGAAGTTAGTGGATCGATGTCACGATAGCTCAAGTGGTAGAGCAGCGGCGTATTAAGCCGAAGGTCGTGGGTTCGAATCCTGCTTGTGGCACTGACTTTTTTTATCTCAACCAACACCTTAAATACTAAATAATAATGTTAATATAACATTTAATCAAGTACTTTATATTCACATAAAGTGTAGTGTTATTCATGTGTTTTTTTTGTTTTTTTTGTATACGTGGTGAAATCGTTTTTCTGTGTTTTTATATGATTGTGACAGTGTGGAGAAGTTGGTATTGCTTGGAAATTTTCTTTAAAACTAGGCGATTTTTTGACTATTATTTTAAAAATTATGTAATTAAAACATTAATTAGTTGGTAATAAAAAGGAGATACATTTTTCTATTAAAGTGTCCATAATTGAAGAAAAATTACAATGAAAATGAAACTCATTTTAACTTCATTCCTCCCCCAGTGTATCCGACATCCCTTGGGTCGGGGTTGACCCACTCCATTTTTGCTAATACCTTAATAAGGCAATTTTGGTCTACCCAAAATTTGTGATGGAAAAGTCACTGCACGAGCCAGAATTAAGCCTTTGTTATTTTTTGAGCGGCTACGGTGTGTTCCGAAGCTCCAATTTTTCAACAAATATGTTGTAATCTTGTGGGAAATTTAATGAAGTGTGTGAGTTTAAGGTCAGATTTGTATTTCATTGACGAGAAAGTCGTTTATGTAAAGAACTTTGTGGCACTGAACTACGTTTTATTTAGTGAATCTACCATGTATTGACATTTAACCCTTTAACACCCTGTAGATACCCTCCTCTCTCTACAAGCCTACTTTATCAACCTAGAACCTTGGCTGATAAAGTTGGCTAATAAATATAAATGTTGATAAAAGTCAACACATAACGTTTACTTTCCTGCGGGGAAAATGCCTCCTGTACCTACATCCATTCCTTCTTACAGCTATCGACGACCGAAGCTAACTTGGGCTGTACATCAAATGCTATCATGGAATCCACATACCAGACTAATAAAACAGTTTAAAAACTACTGTCACGTCTACACAAAGGATCAAAGCTGACGTTTCGCAGCAAACGACAGATCTACAAGAAAATAATAATACCAATTTGGACAATTGTGGGGTTAAACCGAATAATCCAATTATTGTAACTCTTCCCGAGTTTCATTCCAAAATCCTTCGAAAGATAATAATCCCTTCTTTTTACGTATTCAAACAATTTATATGCACCTTAACATTCCTTTTGTGAAAGATGTCATAAAATTCCGAAACATTAGATTCCACAATTCCTTTCATTACACCCCATCCTTTAATCCTAAGCCATATCGCAGCCTGTTGGACACGCACTTTGGTACCTGTTTGTTTATTTTATTTTATGATTTTTACAAATCAATTTTTCAATTTTACTTTTGTTTCTACTGTTAGAAAAATAAAACAAAAAAGTTGTGGTTAAGAGAGTAAATAATTCGTTTTTTTTTTTAACAGAACTGATGTGTGTGGTAACGAATGGAATCGTCGTTAATGTTAGTGATTATTGAAATATTTTGCGGAGTAACTAATATAGCCAAGTCTTGCTTTGTGGTCATATTTTTATTGACTTTTTTCTAGGGTCTTCGAATTTCTCTGATTTTCTTTTGTTTTGGGGGGGGGAGAAGAGGGATAAAAGACAACGTGAAAATTGACAGCCTGCTTCGAATGGTCTTTGTGGTCATGCATGTACGTCCGTGGATAGGACGGGATAACACAGATGTGCTCATTTATTATTCGTAGTCGGATGCGTGAGCGGTTTGAAGTATGCTAAGGAGCAACGCTCCATTTCCTGTTATCTGGGCATCGTCATCAGCCCGCATAGCAACCCGTGCACTTTCCTTATTATAAAACTCATTGTTTTCCCGGGGGACTTTTCAAAATCGGATGTCAAACTCGATGAAGACTCTCCGCGAAGATATTAAAAACGAAGCACGTTTCCACGAGGAATTCCATCATCTCTGATTTCCATCGTGTGTGGTTTTCTGGCCGGTCAAGATGAGCACGACCCGTCAAAAGCCCCTTTCCGCCAACCTGGCCCTTCGCTACCACTTATGTAACCCGTATTCAAAAAATGAGACGTCAAATAAGAGAGCGTGTTATTAAAATTGACCTGGCTTATATTTCCTCATTAGTGATTATCCGTGGGTCTGACCTCTTTCTAATACATCAGACGCGTGACCGCCTCATATGTCACTGTCCAATCAGAGGCGGCCAATAAATGACAGAGTAGAAAGGGATTGCTAAAAAATGTTCGACTTAGCAGACTTATTGGCCAATCAAATACAAACAAGTGATCATTTATTTCAAATATAAACAGAAATGTTTAGAATCTATAAACTTTAACATGTGGTTAACCTTAAAAATGTGGTGTAATTTTTCGTTCAGCGATAGGCTCTGTCATGATCAGTAATAATCATCAACCACCATCTGCTGGCATTTCACACCAGCAGTCAACACTCGCCCAGAGGGAAATCGAACGTGCATTCACGACCTTGTTCACTGCTCCACTTCGTCAAAGGAATTAAATTTGATGTAAAATCATAAGTCGTTAAGATGCGTTAATAACTTCATTGCGTACTGATAACACTCCGAACCTGTTGTGAGTTGGTAAAAGCTCATTTTCTAGACCCCCTGAAGACGTCTTGGCCAAAATCCGACGGGGACGAAGCTTTCCAGACCCGTTCCCACCGAATGACGGTGCGAAGAACGGTGGATAGCTTTTGTACACCGTACGCTTGAACCCCACTGAAAAACTGTTGTAGATAAATGAGAAATTTCACGGGAAATGATTTCAATTAAACAAAGAAATGAATGAGGTTGATGCGATTGTTTAACGTGTGTCACTAATTGCTTTATAAAATTTACGCCTAGTGGGCTACCAACTGTACCTCATCTTTCACAACTCCGAAAACATTTCTTATTTATTATATTTACTTTCTTCATATTTATTTTAAATTTTTTATCACATTACATTGCATTTCAGAAGGAACTAAGACAAAAACTAGGCATGTAGTTAGTAGTCATAGCCTCAGTGCTCACTATTCTGCTCAGCTTCCTTAGCCTAATGGTTTCTTTGTGTAAGAAACTGCTTGCGAATATTCTTCCTATAGTAGCAAAGACCTACGCCCAGATAGATGTCCATCAGTAGCACACAATATTTACGGCCGTCTCTTCTTTTTCTTCCCAAAATCTAACAATGTTTCTTCTACCGGTACATGTGTCTTTTTAAGCAAAAGTGTCTAGTCAGGATGGTTAGGCTCTGTCCTGTACAAATCCATGTATGTAAAACATTCCTATCGTCGGTTGTTACCAGAAGCACCCCCTAGGGTGTCCATACGTTAATGATTCTCGGTCAGATTCAACTCAACTGAGTAAGGATTGGAATATCTGTTCATTCAGTAGAGCCTGTAGTGGCCACTTTTAGTTACCACGTTACCGCTAGATGCCACTAATGGAATGTTCTCGCCCATCACTCTATAGCCAATCAGAGTAGAGCTCTTCCGAATGCTGGCGCACTGCCTGTCTGAAACCAGAATCGTCAGCCCGACGAGATCTCACCTATCACTAATCAACAACGACAGCAAACTCGTCAACCCGACGAGCTCTCACAATCACTAATGGAACACCGTCGACGACAGCAAGGGTACTCGCAGCATTAGCCTGATTCTCGCTTTCTAAACACAGCCGACTTAGCTATAAACACCAACTGCTGCACTCGAGTACATTCGGCCTCTGTGGAGTCAACTCACGGACCCCGGACCTCAGCCAACGGTTCACTCGGTCACAGACCATCACTACCACCAACGGCACCACGCACACGGTCTCGGCCTCGATCCATAGTCTCGACGCTACGAAACAACAACGGCCCTTTTCAGGTCCACAAAACTCCCAGTCACTAAAGAGGCTAAGGGACGTTACTCGCGCTTGCTTTTGAGGATGTCGGTCTGGTCATAGGAAGGCTCCCATAAGATGGTCTTGGTACGTAGAATGATCAGTTCCCACAGTGTCAATGACCGTAAGCAGAGTATAAGTATTTAGATGATATATAGATGGTTAAATCGCCCAGGTGCGATGTCGAAGGTAACCGCCGCATGTATAGGTCTAAGTCACTATATTTCGATAGACCCGTGTTATGGCCCACGCGCTCTTTAATCCCGCCTGCATTTATGTGGTTCCATTTAAAGAAATGTCCAGGCAGTTCCCTGGAGAGGCCTAATTCTAATTTTATTTCGATTATCCTTTACTTTCGGTTATTTTACTAACCAATTTCAAACTAAACTAACAGTTTTATTGTCTGTTTCAGAATTTCCGGGACCAAAGGATAGACGGATCCGCTTTGGCTCTTTTGACCGAGGAGCACCTGACCACCACTCTGAGCATGAAGCTCGGCCCTGCGCTCAAGCTGCGCTCGATCCTCTCGTCCAAGCTGGGCCAGTGCCCGCTCTGCATGCACTGCACGCACTGTCACACCTCCGGGGAAAAGTGACCCCCGCCTCTCACGGACAATCTGTACATTCGTGTAAATACGTGTACATTACCTCAGTGCCTTTCAGCAACGAACTGTTATTTAGGAATGTGAATTAATTGGATTCGATGGAGACAACAAAAAAACACAGTATTCTATTTTTATACGCTTCGCCACTGAAGTGATATTTTTAACACTTTGTAAATATTTTTATCTTGACTGTATTATAGACAAATTATAATGAATTAAAATTATTATATATTTAACTCGTACTTGTTCGTTACCCTATTTTTTAAGTATTTGACTTTCAACACCAAAGCACTTACTAAACTAGTAAGATATATTTATAGTTTTATAATTTATTCTTTTCCGATCACCCTGGTCAGCCTATTTCCTTTCTGCATTTTACCATTTTCAAACCTACTACTAACATGGTAAAACGTTTCCTAATAGTAATTCTACAATGTAATAATTAAGAGGCAGTTAGATGGACCAGTATGATCGGAGACGATGGTCTGTGACTTTCCTGGAGAACGAAGAAACAGAAAACTTGGCGGAATCCATCTTACCGTCAACATCCTGCCACCATATACTGGTCCTTACCTTTCATTTTGGTAAGCATTTAGCCATCTGTATCGGGAGGGGGGGAGCTGAGCACCTGCTTTTCCCTACTTATATCCTTGATCTGACACACTGAAAAGCCTGTTATTTAAAGATTTTACGATGAAGTTTTTTCGGAAGATCTACGGAAGAGGTCAACACAGAGAAAAACTTCCTTTCGGTTTTCGCCGAGCTTTCGATCGTTTTTATACTGTCATCTTCAGGGCCTGTTTTATTATCATATTAAAAAAAAAAAAAAAACAATTAAAAACATGAAAAACAAATTGCACAAAAATCTTATCTTTTTTTTTTTTTTTTCTCAGCATCTAAACATTATTTAAATTGAATGAATTAATAATTAAAAATTACAACTATAAGTACAATAAAAATTAAAAAAAAAAGGTCGAGAAAAGGGTACCTCATAAAAGTCTAAAAAACTAGTAAAAACCTTCCTTTTTTTCAGGTGCATGCGATCACAGTGTGTTTCTTATACATACATATATTTTTATTTCCCCATTAAGGTTTAAGTAAGATATTTCAATTTTTGTGCAATTTGTTTTTCATGTTTTTAATTGTTTTCTTTTATATGATAATAAAACAGGCCCTGAAGATGACAGTATAAAAACTGTCGAAAGCTCGGCGAAAACCGAAAGGAAGTTTTTCCCTGTGTTGACCTCTTCCGTAGATCCTCCGAAAAAACTTCATGTTTCTAGCAGGTCGATAATCCAGCTCATCGTTAGATTTTATCATGTTAATTGCTTAGAATAATAATAAAAAAACGTGCTTATGCAAACCGAAAGGATCAAAAGGCGTACAAAGTCGAGATGCTTTGTGACGAAAGTGAGCTAACGTCGGAATAATAAGCACTATCACTAGCACTTTTTCAAAACTAAATTGAAATGTGCTATTTGTTACATTCTTTTAATATATTGCGTTTGATTGATTTACTACATGTTAATTGCTTACAATAATAATAAAAACGTGCTTATGCAAACCGAAAGGATCAAAAGGCGTACAAAGTCTAGATGCTTTGTGACGAAAGTGATCTACGTCGGAAATAATAAATGCTATCGTTAGTACTTTTTCAAAACTAAAGTGAAGTATGCTGTTTCTTACACACTTTTTATATAATGCCCTTGATCCATTTACTACGTGCTAATTGCTTTTATTAATAATAAAAAGTTGTCATAAAGAAGATCAAAAAAGCGATTGAATAAAATTAAATTCTATGATATTATTTTCAACACTTTTAAACAGATATCTCTGACTTTTAAACTTTGCCTATAAAAAATTAATTAACTATTTTTTCTTAAACACGAACAACAGCTCTATGTATATCAAACTCTACCTATGGACATGTTAAAGAAAACTTTTGTGGTTTTCTTCAATCGTGTTGAAACAAGGAGAATTCAAATCAGAAGATCAGAAAAAAAATTCAGCAGTGATCATGAGAAGATACAAGTCTCTGTTAGACATGCGTTTTTCACCCACAACCAAAATTTGGTTAAGCTGATAAAGTTTCATTTAGATTTATAACTGCATCATAAAGATAAAATGAACCATTATTGCAAATACGAAAAATTCTGACCAAATTGAATAGTTGTGTCTACATTTTCTATTCTTTCGCAGTTTTGGAAACATAAGAGTAAATCATTTTAGGAAAAAAAAAGGTTTACACAACATTTAGAAACTGAGTCTTCTGACGGAAACAGACATGCCATAAATTAAATTGAATAGTTGTGACACTCGAGGTACGTTTTGTGTCATCTCAGTTTTAAGTCTGTATACGTTTTATATATATAAAAAACTAGCAAATTTTTTAGAATCCTGTCAATACATCGTACAGCATTAACAAATAGAACTTTTCATGACGCAAAAGATGATTTTTTGGGCTGGCTAATATTTATTTACATTTTTAACGGTATCTTAGGAAGAAGAAAAAATCTCGCGATAACTACCAAATTCCGCCCAAATTGGACATAAATGTTCCGTTATGATAGCGCAAGGTTTTAATTTTTCGTGCATCGTAGAGCCTGGGCTACGTTTTCTTCTTACAAACATACTGCAGAAAAAGTTAGAGATTCTTGTCAATAAATCGATCTAGTGAACAAAAATATACTAAATAAATTTTTATGACAAGAATTTCATGAATTTACATGGTCGAGCTGGTGAGAATTCATTTAAATATTTCATGAGATCTTGGTAATAAAATAGACATGTTTTGCACAAGGTATAAATTTCAGACCAAACTTCGTGGCTAGGTTTTGATCCATATAGTCAATTTACATCAGCAGAGCGTTTTCAACAAAAATTGGTTTGAACGACATGTAGTAAGTACTTTTGCACATAAACTTACATTGTGTCGGGCACAAGTTAACTTAACACTAGAATATAGTTGAGAAAATATCATATCATTGATTAATATTATTTATATTTTATATTACGTGTGGTGATTTGATTGAATATAAAAATATTTTTCAATTAATTAAGGTTTTTAGTTGAGATAAAAAAGTCAGTCTCACTAGCGGGATTCGAACCCACGACCTTCGGCTAGATACGCCGCTACTCTACCACTTGACCTATCGTGACTTCGATCCACTCGGACACCAACTGCCCATCTCAACCTTATGTCGGCCTCAGGGTCGGCAGGGGCGGCGGGTGCCTTAGCAGAGTCACACGAGGGCCAGTGCACCAGATCCTGTCTACAAAGATGGGGGAGGGTTGTATGGCCATCTGTACCACGGGGTGACTCAACGTTTCAAAATCCAGCCCAGAGTCACATTGGGATGGATTCGTGGTGGCTTGTGGTGACGCCCCTGGCGGGAATTTAGACAGAGGCTGTCTTCTATCTGGGACCTTTCGTGAAGCTTGCGTATGGTCAATGTATTAAACCTGGTCCTCACGGGAGACGTTGCGACCGGACGACAGCATGTAAGCGTTGAGGACGTCATGATCATGCTACAGTCCCTCGAATGCGTACGTAAGCGATTGGAAAAGGGTAGTGATATCGGCGGTCTTTGACTCGAGTATGCTTTGCATTGTTGTGCGTATAACCGGCGTGGTACCCTCGGGGAAGCGAAGGATCGGACCACCTAGGCTAGACCTATGGCGTCCCTCGATTACGTGCAGCAGGTGTAGGCTGATCTCGATAAGAGACCTTTTTACCGTAGACAGTGCTCATCTAGGGGGTGGGTAGCAATCCCACTTTAATCCGAAACCGCTGTCGGGGCGTTCCCGAAAGTTTCTACGCTAGGGGAGCCTCTACACTCAGAGAGATAGAATCGTCTTCTCTATCTCGGGAGTACGCGAGGGGGGGGGGGATGGGCTGATGTATTTCGGCCCGTTAGCCCCTCGCGTGCGGCGTACGACCCGACGCACAATGCGGGCCCGACCACTCGGAATGGACAAGCGGAGAGCGTGGCTACTGACCCTTAGGGACCGGGACACCACTACACCAATGCTGCGGCGGTAACACTTTTCCGTCGTATGCGGAGGTGCGTCAGCTCTCATCTTGAGAATCAAAACGTCCGATAAGGCCGGCGGTCGTTAAAGATCCTCTTGTCTTGTTGACGATAAATAATCGGGAACGGAATGCCCATCTCAACCCCATCTTTTGAGATGGGCAGTGGTGTCCGAGTGGATCGAAGTCACGATAGGTCAAGTGGGAGAGTAGCGGTGTATCTAGCCGAAGGTCGTGGGTTCGAATCCCGCTCGTGACACTGACTTTTTTATCTCAACTAAAAACCTTAATTAATTGAAAGATATTAACTGGTCAAGGGGACCACGAAAACTAGTGAATTTAATAAAAAATATCTTTTTGCATTGTATACATTCAGTTTTTTCAACATCCTATATGTATTTGTTAAATTTAAGCAATGTTTGTAAATCCCAGGCCCTGAAGATGATCTCAATAAAGATCGAAACGTTGGCACGATAAAGAAAATGTTTTTCTGAAACTACATCAGACCAGACCGCATCTCTCGATTTCCGAATAATCATTTTATATTATATTCATTTATATTCATTAATATCACCTGTAAAGTATAGTTTTGCCAGGTCTGAAACAGTAAGGCATCTGCTGATAACTTTTTAGCGAGAAAATGCAATTTTTTGACCAATCAGCGGTCCAGGTCGACACCGTTTTTAAAAAGTGAGAACCCGCTGATAAGTAAATTTTACAGATACCCCCGAGGAGACGGAAGAATGTACAATGTGCATGTTAAACTGGGTATTTCAAGGAAGGAAAAGGCTGTACAAGGAGCTCTTCGGTGATTAGCTTCCATCCGACGTTCCCATGTGAGCGGACAATGGGGTTTACGGTGGCTCAAGAAAAGCCTCTCTCCCACCTTCACGGATAATCTGTACGTGACCCTTTGAAAACAAAATAGACAGCTAACAATAACTCCAAGGTAACTTCAACATTAAAAGAAGGCAAGGTGGTTGAGGCGATACCATAGGTTAAACGGGCTCGATTCCACTTTCCCTGCTACCGTCATAAACGGCGTTATTTTCCGTTACAAACAAGCAATAATATTGGACACGTTCCTGTTTCAAAAGATTTTAACAATGCGCCCTGCCTGTTTGCCACACTGATGCTACACACAAAACCTACCAAATTGGACGTTGCTCTTATAACACGCCCTGGAGGTGAATATTTTCCTTATTA